AGTAGGAAGTAAACAAAGTTATTGTAATTAATTGTGTGAAAAATAGAACATATTGTTTTATCACTTAATGCAAAAGAGGCTTTTTAACCTATGTTTATTTTCCAACCTCAGGGTTTACACTTGTGCTTTTATGAAAAAAATGTTGCTCTAGTGACAAATTATGCCGTTTTAACCATCATGTCTGATCTCTAGGACACAAATGTAACCGATTCTGCAAACCAATATATTCACCTATCTGCACTAAGAGTCCAGAAAAAAAATACAAAACTTATGCAAACTTCTGTCTCATGGACAAAGATAACAGCTGCTATTATAAGGGTAAGTTAAAATGGCAAGTAACTTTCTTTTAATAACATTTTGACAAAACTTATATAATTAATAACCATGAATAAACTTGAACTTCAGAACTTTAAGCTGAAGAAGAGTCAATAGTTCCGTCACCCAACAAACTTCTACTGCAGTTCCACTTTTTAATTATGCATTAAAGTGCAGAGGTTAATATTTATGATAAGTTGAGAGAAGTAGTCTTGTGGCTATAGTCTTGTAACTATTCCCCTTCTGTTACTGGTAAAGTGTCAATTTAATGTTTCTCAGATGTGCCATACAATGACTGCCACCGCTCTTCAGAGATTTACTTCCACAGCATTTCAAAGCACAGCCAGTACATTTCAGGATGACATATAAGACTTGTTCGGTCAACACCGAATTGTGCTGATAAACTGAAATAACTTAAATAATCTGGGTGGACCGATTCTTCTAGGTGTCGAGATAGCTTCGGCAAAAAACTCAAACAAACCCAACATGCACCACTCAATACTTTACAGTTTGATACATTACTTATCATCAGATATGAAGTTTTCGAGGGCTATCTGGAAAGTAGATTACGTTTTTGTCTGTATCCGCTAGGGGCGGGGCTAGCGCGACCATCTTGGTGTTAGTTCGTTATGCAGCTCAGTTGGTGTCTAGTGGTGCTAGTAAGAGGTTTCTGCTGTACTCTGTTGAGTTACTGTGACAGTTTAAAATTTCTGTGTTTATTGAAAATGCCGCAAACTGTGAAGTGCGTGCAAAAAATAATGAATACACTCTTTAGTTACAGTTTGGTAACCAAGCTTTTCGGTTATGATCTCGTGCAACAAACTTCGCTAAATTTGTGGAAAACCCACAGAGAGTTCTGTTATTGCGAACTTTCGAGTTATACAGACATCGTTATCGACTTTTTTGTCAGTCACAATACTGGGTCTTCCACTTCGCTCTTACTCGTGAACGTTAGTTCGGCCATTTTTAAATGTTATGACCCTCTGATGAACTTCACCTTCAGTAATAATGTTTTCCCCATAAACTTCACAAAGTTGCCGATAGATTTCTATCGGTTTACAGTTTTTTGCAGTAAAAAACCTTATAACTGCATGCACTTCACAGTTGCATTTTCAATTAACACAGACATTTTAAACTGTCACAGTAACTCAACGGAGTACAGCAGAAACCTCTTACTAGCACGGCTAGATGCCGATTGAGCTGCATAACGAACTAACACCAAGATGGTCGCGCTAGCCCCGTCCCTAGCGGATACAGATAAAAACGTTATCTACTTTCTGGATAGCCCTCGTAGTATGTAAACCGTTTTCTAAGAATAACAATTTGTTTCAGATTATAATGTAATACATCAGGGAGAGTGTTTTCCTTGGGAGCTGTGTGTCAACTGTCGAAAACCCTAGTTGTATCTCCATTTAATCTATGAATGAATTAATTCTGATTACATAACTTTAGAATAATTCTTTTTGTATCATTTTAACCATTTTTCCATTGAAAAACACCTTATCAAGTACCAATAAAGGTTTTCAAATGAAGAGTATGCTTACCTTTTACTGGGTGAACTTCATTCAATACATTAAATTAAAAACGTTCCTATAGGTATACAAAATACTTTAGTATTACTGCTACAATAAGAAATTATCACTAATACAGTAAGTAGTTTTTTATTAAATTCACGGTGTAACAGTGACAGTGCTAAATCAAATAAACTAGGTGAAACCCGTCAAAATCGACATTTACTCGTGAGGTTTAGATGAGCAAGCTGGTCTAGTGGTAGAGCTTCGGGCTTCAATGCCCAAGGTCCCGGGTTCAAATCCCGCCAATCACCAATGAGATAATGCCATGAGATAATGCTGTGACCCTGTAGGTCTAGCCTGAAATAATGTGTAAAACAGTTCTGGACTAGAACCTAGCGACTAGGATGTATGGTGGGATAAATCATAATCATAAATCTTTATTGGTCATTAAATAACAAAGTTACAATAGATCTTGTCAACAATGATAATGACGTCAAAAAGGGCCTTAGATTATTAATTAGTTATTATATTACTAAACACAGCCATTAAAAAACCTCAAGATTGACACAGGTAACTTACAAATAAATCTAATTTCACTGACTTAGCCAGAATAGCACAGGAGAACCTACACTTAATATAACAATGATAACAAGAAAATAAATTAACTAACATAATTTGAAAAACACAGAAACTAAACTATATACAGTAACAAAAAGTGAGGTGCTTAAACAAAGTGTTTGAAAGACTGGGTAAACAGTTGGCGAGGCACTACCTAAGAACTTGATAACAATTTTACTACTACAATTAATTGTGTTATGTAAAAAAAAACATTTAAACTGTAAAAAGGGTGGTTGGCAAGCCAAACTATCATTATTTGTTTTAGCTGAGTCCAAGGAATGTCAAGTGTTTCACTTGCAAAGCAATTTACTATTTTAATGGATATACTAGCAAAACTTTGCTGTACTGTTGTTAGTCTGGTGTAGGGCCTATCCAAGCAGTTCTTCCCCTTGTGCAATATGAGTGAAAATTATTTCTAGTGCTTAAAAATATGAGGGTTTTGTTTTACAAAAATAAAACACTCTAACCTATACAAAAATGCAGTTGTCAGGATACATTTTGGTTTAAAAGGAGGTTTACAATGGTCCCTAAACCCTGAATTGGTCAACAGTCTTACAGCCTTTTTTAGCTTTAAAATAATTAGAATGTGGGTAGAGTTACCCCACAGCAACAGACCATACTTTAACACACTTTGGAAAAAAGCAAAATACTTGACAATTTCTTACTTAAGTTACATAAATGGGTTGGCCAGCTTAAAAAAAATATCCAAATCTATGCCTGATAAATTTACACTTGACGACAAATTCTTTTCTTCCTCAGGTATGCGACCTAACCTAAGAACAATAGTTTGAGTCTTTTCAGGGTTCATAAAAACCCCATTGACACTGAACCACTTTCTAGCTTCATTGAGGGAAAGTTCGGACAGCTCCATGAGTTTACTAAAGGTGCCTTGACTATTTATTTAAGAAAGTAGAGTCATCCGCATAAATCACAGAGGTACTGGACATACATGTATCTAAATCGTTAATCATTATAAGGCAAAGAACAGGGCCTAACACCGAGCCCTGGGGCACCCCTCAAAATACCTCACTCTCATTCGACGAAATACCCGCAACATCGACCTGCTGCCTGCAGTCTGATAATTAAGACTTAAAATATATAGATGGTAAAATCTAAAAAGATAGTATAGTATGGTAGGACAATAAAAAAAACCCCTTGAGGTTTGACACAAATTCAGCTACCAAAGAATAAAGATATATAGATTGAAGTTATTAACATCTTAAACATTCAGCTTCATTAATTCTTAATTCTTACAAAATGTAGACGATGAACTCGTTGAATACAACATTTCCAATCATTGGCAACAGGTCACCCAACAGATTTTGCGAAATGTTTGTTTCTTGTTCATCTGCTTTGTTCATGTTAAAGACTCTTTTTACCATACGGAAAAAGGAAATTATATAAAATTGGGTCTATCATCCGATGGAAGGGAGTTGAGGTTGCTAATAACTGGTTCTATCTCCTATAGGAAAAATAATGTACACTAACACAATCTTAATAGACAAAATTATCAAATCACTAACTAAACCACTGCTTGTTTGCATTATTAAAAATTTAAACAAGTTGGGAGTCGTTTTGATTGGTTATCTGAACATAAAATTTATTTTTATTTTCGTTTCGCAACTGTGTTTGTTTACTTATTGTGCAATATGACAAAAAATATAGTTCATCTAACAGGCAAAAATATATTTTCAACCTTCGCTCATTTTCCGTGAAACTTGAGCTCGGGTCCAAAGTCACTTTTCGCCCTAGTGGTGAAATATATTACTAATTTTTTTGCAATTTAAAAGCTTGAGATAAATAAATACCACTGTATCGTGTTTTATTTAAACCAAGAGTGTCAACTTGTGGTGCATTTCAGACAACTTAACTTGTAATTCTTTAGTTCAAAGTGAAGCTTTAAGAGGTAGACATTTACTGAGTATTTTATTTGAGTTAAACTTGCTATGAAAACACTTCTCTTAGAATTGGTAATATTTAGTTGTTAGACAGCCTGAAAAAATACAATTTACTAGTTGAAACTATTTGCATTTGCCATTAATTTTATAACATTTAAGTAGATATTAAGCCATTATAGAATTTACTGACAGTTAGATGTTGAGGAGAACCATGGATAAAACATACACTTTAGTAGATTTCCCTTCCTCGAGGAATAGCTGAAGCCGATGTTATCGTTAGTTCTGTCTGGTGCACTGCAGATGTCGTGTTTTGTTTCCAATTTGTTTTTTGTTATTTCAGTCATTTAAACACCCGTTTAACCAAATAAAATGTAAGGGACAGGAAATGTTTTACTTTTTTAGTGTAAAGTTTTACCTTTCTTGTACTAGTTTCGATTCTTTACTATTCAGGTATGTCTGCTATCTTCACTAACAAATCTTTATTTAATTATTTACAACTATGGTTGGAAATTTTAATGGTAAGATTAATAAGCATTTATTTTAAATCATAAAAACTGTCCAAGTCGATTGAAGCTCTTTTAACGTCACCAACGATAATAACAAGTTTTAAGAATTTGGAAAAGAATACAAGAGGAAAAAATGAACAAATAAAAGATTGATTTTCAAATTTATTCCACAAAAATAAATATTTGATACAGTTTCTTAAGGTCTTTTTAAGGATGCCTATTAGTGTAAAGCAATCTTCTCATCAAAGACACAAAGAAGTTGCATATAATAAAACATACTTAATAAGTTGTAGATTGGTACAAAAAGCCTGTCTTGACAACACACAAGATACAAATTACAGTGCAACAATAACAATGGCTATAACTTATACAACTGGTGCCATTATGAAGCAGAATAAGTTTCTAAAAATTTTTGACGACATGCTGACTCCAAGGTGCGGATGAAAACAGCGATGTCATCGTCCGAGAGGAACAGGGAAGTGGTGACCCGTATGCAGGCTGGCGTCTTTGAGGAATCATTGGCTAGAAAAGAAGCCCTACTCACAGCTATTCGTTCTTGCAGGCACTGTAAAAAACATAACTAATGGATACTATTGCATAACTGACAATTTGGTTTGAGTTTATAGAAAACATTACTTTAGTTTTCTTAGTGCCTGTATCAAATTTTGGACAAGAACTAATATTGACTTGATTCAAAAACTTAAAATTGTTGTAGTGTCTTAGTTTAGTGACAGTCTGTAATCAGTTTTGATCTTTATGTGAATTACTTAGTATCTCTGGAACTCCAAGTGGAGACTGTTGTTCATCAATAAGGGTAGGGTTTTCAAGAATGCTTGTGATAATTATCAATAGAGGCCCACATAAATATGTCAAATTGTATAACTTCGGTCTCAGCCCTCTGTTTCCTTGAGATAAGGAGAGCACTTATCTGTTTAGTTGATCCTTAACTCTGTCAACCCTATCTATTTTATGAAGCTATATGTTAAAGCCTAACCCTACACTTTGACACTTCCTAGATGATACTTAACTTTGTTAATGGACAGTTCTCAAACTATTTTATTAGACATTTATTGATATTGCTAGAAGGTTCTAGAAGGAGGGCTGCGTCCCCCACTTAGAGATCCGTATTTAAGCTGGACTCTGGAGCAGAGCCGGCACTTCTCGGTTAGGACCTGCTACTGGAGGGTGTTCTCAGAGAGCCCGTCAGTGCAGCTATCAACTGTTTAGTCGTATTTTGAGACTTAGAACTATTTTGTATTTTGGGACTTGTAATATTTTGTGTGAATTTCTGAATTGTAGTTTGAGTCAATATATCGTGTTTTACTAGAAGCTCGGTTGATTTTAATCATTTAACTTCCCAAGCGAACCCCCACATTCGTGTTGTACCGGCAGCCACTCGATGGATACAACAAAATGTTCTCAGGACTATTGGCTTGATTCACTTTTACAGCCGATAACTCAGTGATAGTCTAGTCATAAATAATTAAATAATTCATACATTTATCAAAGAACTGAACTCTCAAATTACATTACCAGACCAGACATTGGATGGATTAGTTAGAAAGTGACATATTTTAGGATTAGGATCAACAATACAACGTATCATAAAGTTACTTTGTTAAAATTGATACGGTACGTAAAGATATAGTTTTGTTATTTTAACAAGAAAAAAACCAGTAAATATTTTGAATAACACAGATTGCTGTAAATATTTAAGTCGATTAACCTTTGAAGTAATTCATATTCAGATAGATAATTGTATTAAGTCCTAAATATACTGTAAGTATATTTTCTATCTTTTAGTATATGCAAAAGTTGTTAAGGATGTAAATTTTTCTTCTAATCATATCTTCTTTAGTTGAAAATGCTGTTAGTAGTAGCAAAATATAATTGTTCCTACAGTTATCTAACAATGCACATGTTCTCTCACTGATTTGAGAAAGCAAAGTTTCCAATTCTCTCATCAGTGAGACAATATTAACATTGTCTCACTCTTAATTACTTTGTCTCACTCCAGATTTGCAACGTGAAGGCACGAAATAGTGAACGCGTATCATGCAGACAAGGTTGTATGCACGCTAAATACGTTGGCAGCACTGGCTATAAATCAGCTGGTCAGCTGTTGTACTGTTGTATCATTAAATGTCATATTAATACCTTAATACCTGCTGCGACGTCGTTGACCAGAATTTCTGGATAGACTGTGTCATAAACTAAAAAATACTATTAAAAATTCACTTATGTGTAAAAATATGTTACGTTTCTTTACCAATTTATTTGTTTTATGGTAACTGTAGGAAAAATATAATGTGCAACTTGAGTGCAAAGTGCAATTGCCTTACTCGAGAAACCATTCCTAAGTAGTAAGTATTTCTCTCGAGTGAGTCAATTGCTCACTTTCCTCACTAGTTGCACAAATAACTATTTTTGTGTATTAAGTGTTGTGTTTTTGTGCCAGATTGGACTCTTTCCCACCCAGGAAAGAGTTTCATATTTAGTCAGATTAGCCTGCTATTCTCACATAAAGATTCTACAAGTCTCTCTCAAGTTACTGATTTGTATATGTCAATTAATTTTGTTGATTAAATTGGCAACGTCTTCAAACAGAAGACTGTTTACACATTTTACTTGATACAGAGAATAAAATTGACAGCTAGAAGGAAAGTTGATGTACGTTTTTACTAAATGACAGACTGTATAGTACTTAACATGAATTTTGTTGTGAATCACATAAATAATACTGACAGAGTATTTTTATTTTAACAAATTTTCTGAATGGATTGGTTATATTATAATCCACTAAACTCCTATCTGTATGTCCCCGTAGTGCCCCCTACATAAAGTAATTTTGGGGTAAAGGTGTGTTTTTTTTAGTATAGAAAAAAAACTCTTACCGGTCAATCCAAATTCAAAACACTTCTAAAAATTCAAACAAATGTTTTTAAGCCCCTCAGCTGTAACTTACCTAAAAAGTAGCCTTTACCTTTATTAATCAGCTCAAAAGTTGACACTGCTGTTTCGGCATCACAATGCCATCATGAAAATCAAAAGTAAATGAAGATCTTAGAAACTAATATCAAAAATAAAATTTTGTTATAACTAGAGGTATTCAAGCATGAGATTTACAACCCTGGAACTGCTGGTAAGATTTGCTTCTCCTTTGTCCCCTCCTAACTCTAAACCACCTTCCCCACTCTGCTTCAAGTGTGTTAATTTGTTCACATCAACCATTCTATAATTAAATCAAAACTGAGGCATAACTACTGATAAAAGAATTTTCTATGAATCCTATTTCTCTGAATACTGACACCAAAAACACCACACTTACTTGACGATTTGACTCATTATCTAAACATTATCTAAAGGTTAAAGGTACTGTACCTTTAATGATACTAACCAATTCTATGATGTCACCGATTACTGATTGGGGGTTGGAGCAGCAAACATCGGGTTTGAGTAGCAACAAGTGGACTGGACTGTCACAGTCACCACAGACAGTAAAGTGGTTATTGATGATGGAGGAACTGTTGAGGGCATCGTGCATCACTCCACACAACCGGTTGAGTTTTTCTAGGATATCCGGTTGTTGGTCCAGTCGTCTGAGACCCTCCATCGCAGCAATCACATGAAGAGGAGGCAATGATGCAGAGAAACAGTAACCTACAAGAACATTATGTTTCACTTTTTATACTCCTACATAAGTTACATTTAGTTTATTAATTTTAGTGAATCTCCCATTATAGGGAATATGCTATAATCAGCATGATCATACTGTGAAAACTGGGTTTTATGGGGTAAAAATTAGGTTTTCCCATTTTTGATGATCAAATTAAAATTTTGCAGATTCTTTCCAAACCATTTTGTAGAGAACAAAAAAAAATATCTACATTGAAGCGCCGTTGTACGTCTAGTGAAAATAAAAAAAAACTATAAATTTTTTATATTTATATTAATTTAATGGAGTATAAGTAAACTATTGTAGTTTACTTGTTTACGAATATATTTTGATCAAATTTGGCAAATTTATTTATTTAGCAGCAAGCTACTAACATTTAAATAAAAAACATACTTTATGAAATTCCTTATAGCAGCAAACGTAAATACTCATTAAAACTAATGTTATATTAATGAGGCAATCTAACATGTTTAAGGCAATATTTCAGTAGAAAAGCAATTGGGCAAATGGAAATTCGCTTAGTCAGCAGGTTTGCTGCAGTGGGGGTGTTTATTTGCATTACTAGATTAGTCCAAATTTACCTATACCTGACATGGCAAGGTCAGATAAAATAGAAAAAACTTAAAATAAAAAATAAAATAATTACAGGTCAATCACATAAATATTACGTAAGTAACCTACCATGGTGTACACTATACAGTCATACCACTTGAATGTAGCTCAAGATCTCATGGTACTCAATTGAACATAGGGAAGGTCGGAGAACTTAAATTATGGTGTCCCCTTCTCAATAATTGGTAGTTGAAAAAAGAACACAGAAAGTTGGATAACGGATGATTGGTAGTAAAGACTACGAATTTGGTAACTTATAATTTTAAAAGAGTAAGTTATTTAAAGAACCCAATTGCATCGTCTTATTTATTTACCGAAAATACCAGTAGGCCTATCCCTGAAACGATAAAAAGGAAAAATATATTTTTGACTAAATTTTTTTATGATGTTTTATAGTATTTTATAGCTGAAAAATAATAAATATATATGCATACATAATTATGTAAGAAAGTGGTTTAAATACCTGCATAAAAGTTATCCACAATGTTGCTCACGGCAACCGGTTTCAATCCACAATAGGGATCTTCATCAGGCCGATCAGGATGTCAAAACATTTTCTCTCTTCTTGCGAAGGTCGTCAAAAGGCGTAAAAAACATGCACATATAGTCACAAACACAAAACACGGACATTTAACATTGAAGACACGGCCGAAATTATTGCTACGACTCATCCCCGGCGAAGGTATAGTCTAGACTGCCGGTGGTCAGTGGAATCCATTCGTACAATCCTTATCAGCTGTTTCATTGGGTCTACCCACCCCCTCCATCCACACCCTTAAAAACCTTGATTGCAGTGTCATAAATATAATTAGATGAAAATGATAGCTTGTCGTTCAGGACGTTCTGATATCATCAAGCTATCATTTTCATCTAATTATATTTATGACACTGCAATCAAGGTTTTTAAGGGTGTGGATGGAGGGGGTGGGTAGACCCAATGAAACAGCTGATAAGGATTGTACGAATGGATTCCACTGACCACCGGCAGTCTAGACTATACCTTCGCCGGGGATGAGTCGTAGCAATAATTTCGGCCGTGTCTTCAATGTTAAATGTCCGTGTTTTGTGTTTGTGACTATATGTGCATGTTTTTTACGCCTTTTGACGACCTTCGCAAGAAGAGAGAAAATGTTTTGACATCCTGATCGGCCTGATGAAGATCCCTATTGTGGATTGAAACCGGTTGCCGTGAGCAACATTGTGGATAACTTTTATGCAGGTATTTAAACCACTTTATTGAAATATTGGTTATCCGGAGGCTAAATCACAATGGAATATAATTATGTATTTAATATACATATTTATATGTATTTAGGATATATGTTTACACTATTTTTTATACTTCTCAAACAGATAGGTGCATATATCTGCCTGAAATAAAAATTGGACAATTTTTTTATGTTCTTTTATAGTATTTTATAGCTGGAAATAATAATAAAATGATAATGTATATTATATAATAATGCATTTTATATATATATTATAGGATATGTTTAGACTATTTTTATACTTATCAAAAAGTAGGTACATACCTGCCTGTATTACGTAATTATCAAATCATTCAAGGAATATAATATTTTGAGAACAAATTTAAATATTTTATATATATACATAAAAATATAAATGTACATTATATAAATGGTCCATTTTTTTTATAAAATTTTCTAATTTCATGGCTGATGTACCAGTAGCCTACGTCAGCCTAAAATCACTGGCAATTCACATCGCAGTTGTTATAAACTGTTTAGTGATATTTTAATTTTAAGTTATGGACATCTTGTGCAGTTGCTTCACTAGAATTGTTAAGGTGTCAAGATACAGCACTGTTTATCAAGGAATCAAATCCTGGTTGTCGGTGTTGGTCTGGTGGGAGAGGCCTCTAAAGCAGTAAACAGTTCATTTGTGATATGTCTATAGTCTTACCTAGTCCGGAGAGTCTCTGATGGTCCACGATGAAAAAAGTTCCAACACAGAAGCCACCGATAGAAGCTAACGAGTTCTCCAGACTGGCCATTACAAGATCCACCTCAGTCCTCTGTGGAAAGAAAACATATTCAAATTTTAAATCTAAAAGGAAGTCATCCTAGGATCTGATGTAATTTTTTTATTCATGTTTAAGTACAGTGGAATCTTGATTACCCTGTTTGGTTATCCAATAATACCAAGAACTTGCTGTTTCTGTTTTGTATGACTGATTGTAAGGCGTAGCAGGTACGTCGAGACAAATCCTGTTGCTGCTCCTGCCTGTACTCTGGCCAGGCTTTAGGCACCTGTTTACTTACTTACTACTGTGGCCACAGGTACCACATTTCTTCCTAGCCTCCTTAAGCTAGGCCCTTCCATCTGCACTTGACTAAACTTTCAGATTATTTTAGCGCATTGCATACCCCACAAAGTTTGTCAACTCATCATACTTAAATACCCCTTAGCTACCTGTTTGTACTACCCCTTTAACTTCTTAGCACTGTTGCAAACGGAGAACTGTAGCTTAGAGGACTCAGTTGCAATAGTGATATTTTTAATTTGGTAATAATTTGTTAAGTTGTTTGTGACTTCAAAATAGAAAAAAGTCAGTGGTTTCAACGAGAGGCCGAATAAAAGCCTTGAATAGGAGCTATGTAGTAAAACATGAAATGACATTTTTTGGGAAAAGAACAACGTTTTAGATATAAAAAATATAAATTAAGTAAATAAATAAATAAATTAGTACCGTAAAACGGGGTAACTTGAGACAGTGTGGTAACTTAAGACAATTTGCAGATGTTTTTTTTTTACATTTTTTTGTTGGCATACCTGATGAGTTATTGGGAGTTTCCTTAGTGTGATCACGTCTTGGAAGTTGATCCCTTAACTACTGTATATTAAGACATATTGTGATATTCAAGGTAACATACTTTATTTATTTATTTACTTTGAGTTACAGATGTTCAAAAATTATAGGCTGTATAACTTACCTTGTAGCATCAAGTCTATTATTAGGAATTCAATGATTGTTATTACTTACCTAACCTCAAATCAAAATCAAATCATCAAATCATGTTTATTAGCACATAAACGTACAGAGGTTTTAGATAAATGCACAGGTGCTTCGTCATTCTTCTTATAGCCTAATATTATATAATGTCCTTTTTTACAATGTATTTATTAATAATAAATAAAATAGTTTTTTAACATTTGAGGAACTCTTTAAATAGACTAGTCAAAAGGTTTAATAAAAAAGATAACGTCAAGCTTAAAACTAAATAACAAGATTTATAGAATTTAATTATAGATAAAACATAAAAAAATGTACAAAACATGTAATTTTAGTCAATAACAAGGTCTTCATTAAAATTTCACAACAAAAACTATATATATATAAAATATGTAACATTTAAAAATCAACAAGATTAACATGGAGAAGGAACTTTTTACCCTATAAAATATTATGGAAGTAACAGGACATGCTTATAACATTTGAGAGTCATTTAGAAAATCGTCAACTTTATAATAGGCCTTTCTGATCAAAATACTCTTAATGTTATCTGCAAATTGTGCTGGACTCAAAAGCTGAGTTGTCAATAATAATCTTTTCACTAAGCTATTGCCAACCTAAAATTTATAAAAAAAAAAACACCCTGTTCTGTCCTTGGTGGGGTAACTTGAGACAACTGATTTGACGAAGAAGGTGCTACAGTCAGTGCTATGAAGCGGACTCTCAAGGATAACTGGAAATGGCCGGAAAAAAGGATGAACTTGACTATCGTTGGGAAGATATTGTTGGTGGTATTAACCCCCCTAAAATGCTCAATAAGAGGGGTTTTTTTTCTGTGCCAGAATTGAACGAAATTTACTAAGTTATGTCTGACATTGTGAAAAAAAAATTGTTTCCTCTTTTTTAAATACATTTTTTTTTTTTTAGTTTGTAAGTTAATATGTGTATTCCTTTGTTTTCCTAGATATTTTATTATGTCTCAAGTAACCATTGCATTATCTAATTTGAGACAACTGTTGTTTTAACATCTGTGTCTCAAGTTACCCCATTTATATGGGTAACTTGAGACACTAATAAAAATAAATAAATAAATAAAATTTATATATTTACACCAATTATTAAATGTAGAAACCATAGTAACCAGGGTAACTAATGTTTTATTCTAGTTTTTGCAGATTTCCCTATACAATTATTTGGTAGGGGTTTCTTTTAAGTTGAAAAATGTCTCAAGTTACCCCGTTTTACTCGGTACATAGCTTTCATCCCTGTCTTGGTATTGTTTTGGGGGTTTTTAAAGTAAAAAGTGCTAGCTAACGAAGGATCACTTAAACTACTTACCTGAACTATACCCAAATAAGTACTAAGTAATACTTTTATTTTCTCATAAGAGGAAATATTTTACTAAACAAGAGTTTGATTTTGGTATAGGCCTACCTAGCCTAGTATAGAATCATATTTATTAATTTCTCTCCATGCATAAGATGTGCTGACATTTTACCACTTCATGAAGGAAGGAGTAACAATATTTTACAAACTGTATTATATTGATACACAAATGTATTAACTTACTGGGATCCCAAAATGCTCAGTGACTCCTCTTCCAGTCTTGCCAAGAACACCGAATGATATACTTTCATCCAAGAACAGTCTCAGCTTGTATTTTCTTCGGAGTTCAACTAGTTGAGGCAGAGGACAAATCTCACCTGTGTTTGCACAGATACCTTCTACGACAAGAAATCGCCTTGACCTTTGTGCTTTCTTTGGATTCTGCAAAATAAAAAAGCAGGATAATTTTAAGCTATCTGGTATATTGATATAGGTACTGTGAAAAGTGAGTAGTATGGTTGATTGTAGTGATGTGTCAAAACCGAGTTTTAAATCTCAAAACTACCAAACTAAGGAACAGTTTTGGTTTTGAGATTCAATTGACAAGTTTCAAGATTAAAAACTAAATATTTATTTAATTGAATATTGTTCTCACATTCATATTCCTATTCCAGTGTCAGGAGTTTAATTCATTTCAGTGTTTGTTAAGTTTATAAAAAAGGATGATTTTAGGTTTAAAGTGCACTAACCAATAACCATGTTATTCAGGTTATTATGTCTGAGTAGGAGTAAAATTTAATTCAGTTTTGATTGCATTATAAACATTTTATTATTACCTGTATTTTTTTAAACCCTAACCAGGCCAGTAAAATGTTTTGAGTTTCAGAATTTGATTTTTTAAGTTTCAAATTTGAACTTTCTGGTTTAAACCTTCACTAGTTGGTTGGCGTTAAAACGATTAATTGTTGATTGTATATTTAAACTCTGATCGTTTAGATTGTAATAGCTAGTTTAAATTTATATAGAGTAGTTTATTCAGGGTGAACAACTTAACTGTGTTACACTACAGCGTGTTAAACTTTGAAAAAAGCTAATGACATAATGATTATAACCACACGGCAAGCAAATTTTTCAAAGTTTAACACGCTGTAGCTCCTAAACGAGTAGGTTTAGAGAGAAAATGCGAAGAGTAAAAAAGTCTTAAAACTGCATCTGAAATCTAAAACACAAGGGTGTTCCATAAGAAAGTTAGCCACCATATTGGAAAATGGCGGCCATGTTTGAAACATTGGAATTCATATTTTTTAATGTCATTAAAACCTAGTTGAAGTTCCTCATTTAATGTTCTCTCTAAATCTAATAGATTCTGAGATACCAATGGTGGCACAGTTAAGTTGTTCACCCTGTATAGAGTTAATACTAAAATATATCGATTCCCTGTATTGATACCTGAAAAATCTATTCTCAATTCTCAATACCGATGGAATTTTTTATAGTTTTACTATATTTTCTTAATGGATTGATTATTCTACACCAAACCCTGTCTTTTTGTCCTCCCATTAAGTAATTTTGAGGTAATTTTGTATTTTTAAGTAAAGAAAAAGTGTGTGCAGCAGTGATACAGCCCAACTAGCAAATTTATTTTCAAACCCATCTAAAGACATTAATTAACTACCATATTTTGATTGATTCTTGATACCGATACCTAAGTTCGAGTATCGGTGGTATCGAAAATCAACACATCCCTCATAAATATACAGTAGGCTCCCTCTTATCCGGACTCCTCGGGACCGAGGCCAGTCCGGATAACGGGTTTTCCGGTTAAATCGACGTCCCCAAAAACTCGTTAAAACGGACTGTTTACTGTGATATTTGATTTAAATTTAGGAGAGCATTGTATTTAAACATTTGATCACTGGTCTCAAATCTTTTCCACGAGATTAGTCGTTTCAGTACCGCCCACTTCCTGCCGATCTAGTCCGTTTAAACCAATGTGCTGATAAAAATTGTCCGGTTGAAGATCAGTCTTTCCGCCAAGTGTAGTCCGGTTAAACCGAAGTCCAGTTAAACCGATATCCGGTTAAAAGGTGTCCGCATAAGAGGGAGTCTACTGTATATATGCATTTGAACAGATGGTGTTTTTGGTCTCTGGAGACATCAAAACGAAAAAGTAAATTGGTCTTGGGTCCAGGTCTTACAATGAGACCTATGGAAATAGCTTATTACCTCTGTGGAAAATTCTCTAGCAAAGAAGGAATCCGAACACTTATAGGGAAACTAATAGTATAAGAGAAAAAGTTACGGTAACAAACAATTTACAGCTTGAAGAGGAGTACAATATTTCAAGTGACTTTTCCTAAAAATAATAGAGAAAAATACCTTGAGATCTGCTTTTTTAGTTTCTTCTAGCAATCGTTCAAGATCTTTTATGTCATTATGCTTGAAGACCTTGATTACACTTCTTGAGGCATCCAAACCTTTCTGTATTGCAAAATTAGCCCTCTCATCGCTGAAAGAAAACATTTAGATATAATGTATTATAATACAAAGGTCAACACTTATGTGAGTTGATGATAATTTGAAATAAAATAATGTGTAAACTTTTAATTTAAATTATAAAAATTTTGTATACTTAGGCAAACATTCATTTTATAGACTATTTATTTAGAAAATTCTTTACTTAGATGTTGAATCCAACAAATCAAAACATATTTGTAACTTATTTTTAGTGATGGGTCAGTACTTAACGTCAAATGTCGGTCTAACCCGTTCTTGGGAAAAGTACCGGGGACGAGAATCGATGGTGAAATGTCGGTACCCGATACCTTCGGTACCAAGTTAATTTGTTATATTTTTATTTACTCATTTACAAAATTTAAATTGGCAACTATGATGATTATTTTTCCCCTAAGACTATTTGAAAGGGCATATTTATCATGAAATATTATCAATAGTAGGCTATAGTATGATTATTTCAGTGTTAGTTGGTTATGTTGTCGTCACATTTGTCAGCTGATAGAGTGGTGCAAACATAGACTGCAATAACTGCTCCACCATCTTCAAGCATAAGACAGAAGGCAAGCTTAATAAAGAAATGATCAATTAAATTGTTTATTTTGACAAAAATTATTTAATACACTACCTTAATACCATCCTTTCCTTATCTGAGGTTGATTGATAATAACATTAATAATAGTTACAAGTTACAGGGTTATTTCATTTAATTCATACAGTTCTATATTTTACTTTGTTTTGTACAAACTATGGAAATACAGAAGCAACATAAATAGCGCTGAATGTACGACTCGTACCACAAACTTAGTCAAGTTCACTCTAACTGTTTGACTCAGTCCAGTTCAGTTAGTGGCTGAATTCATACTTTTATTTGTTATTGAGAGAAAGTTTAAATGTAGTTTAGGTCGTCCGTCGTCTGTCAAGTTTCTTTGAAATTGAAGAATGGGCCTTTGTTTTCATCAGATTTCTTAAATAATTTATGTTGATGTAAATAATTAAACTTGTTTTGTCTGTAAATAATAAGTGGAAGTGGACCAGTTTATTACAGGAATGTAGAAGTAGGGCTACCATAAGTTGTTGTTGTTATCGACTAATTTGTGATAAATTCTCGATAATTGCTTCCCAAGTTTGGAAGTATTTAAAAATTGATGAAGCAAACAACAGATTTGTGAAATGCATCATATTATTTAATAGGCTTATCTCCAGAGGTGGGGGTCTAAAAGGACTTTTAACCTAATGAAATACCTAAAATCCCACAATACCGGTACAGGTAGGCCTACAAAAAACCACCACAGTCAACTAACTAAGCCTTGGTTAAATCTTTTTTTTCAACAAACCTGCACCTTAAACTAAGTTATAACCTCAAATGAGTATATAGACCTATTTTCTAAAAAGTTTTGTTCAAAACATCCTTTCCATAAATACCTTTATTCTAAATTTCCCTTAATAATGGAGCCTAAAATTAGCTTAATGCAGGCTAGGTACACTATAGGTACAAAATTACTTCCTTCTACATATTTAGCTAGAACCTATGCAGTTAACTTAGTTTAGGCTAACAAATTTCCAGAGCCACTTTTCTTTCCAAGGTTATATTAGTGTTAGTAGCCTATGTTAAATTTATTGGTTTAGCAGTGAATCATTTATATAGGCTATATATTTAACACTTCTGGAATGGTATATATTGTTTTGATTTGAATGAGTTTGGTTGTTAAAGTGTTTTTGCACAAATAGTCCTAAGTTTTATTTTCTTAATCCCTTAATATAACGAACTTACACTAATGAAAAATAATCAGTTTTAAAAGTTGAATTAGGGATATTCTGCTTTTAAAATAAAACAATTAAGTAGCCCAATTTAAAATGAGGTACCGATGGTACCGGAACCGAGAATTGATTTTGTAGGAACTGGTACCGGTATTGACATTGAAAAAGTGGTACCCGTAAAGCAAACTAAATTTTGGTGGTGGTGGTATACTAACTTTTTTGTTGTATACCTGAGGACTTATTTTAAGAACAATTAGGCCAAAAAAGACTTTTGATTTTCAGAAAATATTTTATTTAATGGATTATTTAAAAGTATTTTCTTTACTCCTACAAAGGATTTCCTTTTACAATGCCATAAACAAAAGTTGCTTCCTAATTGTTTTTTTTTTTTCAATCTAATGTGATACAGAGAAAGTTATAGGTTATGATTAGAAATGTATCAAACTTTAGGCTACATTATTGTGTGTTATGTAGTTCAATTTAATTTTCCTTTCTATAGAATTTGGGTATATCAAACGAAAGTTCGCACCCACTGGTTATAACTTTCATGGGTTAGAACAATATTCACATCCAGGGCTCCATCCCATTGGCTTTCAAAATGTATATGTTTATATGTTATATGAAATAAAGTTCTTTTTTGTAATCCAAAGCAGCTTATTTCAAAATACTATTCATTACAGAGTCAACTCAGAAAACAACAGAGATTGTTTGTTCTTATGTTTTCAATTTGATTTACTCAATGTTCAAAAGTAATATAACTGTGATATCTCATTTTTGGATAGAGATACAGGATTTAAGACAATATAAAATAGGTTACGTACCTTTACGTCGTCAATCCTAGGTTAGTCTTTTTAGCAGCGACTAGTTTCGAAACTGACGTTTCATTTTCAAGCCTTGTCAAACATAAAATTACTTGAACATAATGTCGTCGTCAAAGTACACAAATATAACATTTAACACGCACAAATACATTAAGATACAGAAAGACGCGCGGCCGGCCATTACACGCACGACGGACACGACTCAACTACCGACTGCCACTGGTCTGGTGACATTGACCTTGGAGGGGGTTGGACAGCTGATTATGAGCGCCTTTGTTATCAATGTCCTCAATCCTATCAAATATTGTGTTACGACCAAAATTTAGCTTTTCATTCAGGATGTCGTGGGGAAACCTTTTTGTTGCTTTGTAGATTTCATAGCTTTCAAGGACATTCATTAAGGAGCCTTTGGTGCATTTATGTAAAATACCCAGGTTATCACTACAGCTGCTTACGTTGTGGTTGTCATTCATCAGGTGTTCAGCGAACTTAGAATGTTGTGTTCGCAGTTTAGGCTTGGGTAGATGTTCATTAAACCTTTTTTTGAATGAACGACCTGTTTGTCCGATATACATTTTTGGACAGTCGCTGCAGGTTAATTTGTATACTCCAGTGTCCTCTAGGCTATTGGAAACTGTAGATTTCGAAGTACGTGGATTTAGGCGGCTTTCTAGTTTATTTGAAGTTTTGGTGGCCAATGTAATGTTATGTTTCTTTAGTTCATTTTTTAAGGTATAATGTAAGCAGTTGCCATATTCTATAGAAATAAAGTTTTGATCGGTTTTCTGTAGTGGTTTTCTGTTCTTTTGTTTGTGTATAATATTGTCGATAATACTGCTATTGTATCCGTTATTGACTGCTATACATTTTAATATTTCATATTCGTTGTTGTAGTTATTTTGAGACATGGGTATTGTTAAAAGTCGATTAACGAAGCTGTTGTATGCGGCCATCTTGTGTGATTGTGGATGATTGGAGGTTGCATGGATTGTATGGTCTGTGGTTGTAGGCTTTCTATAGATTTTGTAGTCAATACTATTATTATTTTTGGTCAAAGTTAGATCCAGAAAGTTAATCGAATTATTATTCTCGATCTCGAGTGTGAATTTTATTTGATGTGAAATGCTGTTCAAATGATTATTGAGAAGTTGTAGCTGTCTGGAGTTTCCGTTAAAAAGCAAAAGGGTGTCATCAACATATCGTTTATAAAATATGATTTTCTTAGAAAATTTGTTGCTGGCGGAGAGAATGTTTTCATTTTCAAAACGATTTAGGTAAATTTCGGAGAGCACACTGGACAAAGGTGAACCCATAGCTAGTCCTGCTTCTTGAAGATAATATTTTTCATTAAAACTGAAGTAATTTTGTTCTAGAGTTGTTTTGAGTAGATTTATTATCTCATCAATGGCGTCAGTGCTAAGTTGGGAGTTTTCTAACAAGTTTTCTTTAGTTATTTCTAACGTTTCATGTATTGGAACATTTGTATACAAGTTTACAATGTCCAGAGATGCCAAAGTATGTCTGTTTTCTACTTGAATATCTTTCAGAGAATCTATTAACTCTAGACTATTTTTAAGGCTATGGTTATTCTTCAATTTGATGTTGTTTCTAAGTATTCTATCTAGAGCTTTTGCGAGTTTGTAGGATGGTGCAGAGGTGAAGTTTACAAGTGGTCGTATCGGCATGGTGTCTTTGTGTATTTTAGGTAATCCCCTCAATACTGGCGCTTTGGGTTTGATCATTTTGAGGTAGTTGCATCGGTCCCCGTTGAAGATGTGTTGAGTTTTGTTTATGGCAGTTTTGAGTTTAGTGTGGAAAAGGTCAGTTGGGTCTTTAGGTAATTCTTTGATGTTATTGTTATTAATAAAATCTAAGACTTTGTTGTTGTAATCGTCTAATTTCATGATTACGATGCACTGGCCTTTATAGGTGGCCTTATAGGTGAGATAAATACAATCAAATCTATAAAAGAAAAACTAATGACACATGACTGCATTGCAACTAAAGCTGACCTTTATCAGCTTTAGTTGCAATGCAGTCATGTGTCATTAGTTTTTCTTTTATAGATTTGATTGTATTTATCTCACCTATAAGGCCACCTATAAAGGCCAGTGCATCGTAATCATGAAATTAGACGATTACAACAACAAAGTCTTAGATTTTATTAATAACAATAACATCAAAGAATTACCTAAAGACCCAACTGACCTTTTCCACACTAAACTCAAAACTGCCATAAACAAAACTCAACACATCTTCAACGGGGACCGATGCAACTACCTCAAAATGATCAAACCCAAAGCGCCAGTATTGAGGGGATTACCTAAAATACACAAAGACACCATGCCGATACGACCACTTGTAAACTTCACCTCTGCACCATCCTACAAACTCGCAAAAGCTCTAGATAGAATACTTAGAAACAACATCAAATTGAAGAATAACCATAGCCTTAAAAATAGTCTAGAGTTAATAGATTCTCTGAAAGATATTCAAGTAGAAAACAGACATACTTTGGCATCTCTGGACATTGTAAACTTGTATACAAATGTTCCAATACATGAAACGTTAGAAATAACTAAAGAAAACTTGTTAGAAAACTCCCAACTTAGCACTGACGCCATTGATGAGATAATAAATCTACTCAAAACAACTCTAGAACAAAATTACTTCAGTTTTAATGAAAAATATTATCTTCAAGAAGCAGGACTAGCTATGGGTTCACCTTTGTCCAGTGTGCTCTCCGAAATTTACCTAAATCGTTTTGAAAATGAAAACATTCTCTCCGCCAGCAACAAATTTTCTAAGAAAATCATATTTTATAAACGATATGTTGATGACACCCTTTTGCTTTTTAACGGAAACTCCAGACAGCTACAACTTCTCAATAATCATTTGAACAGCATTTCACATCAAATAAAATTCACACTCGAGATCGAGAATAATAATTCGATTAACTTTCTGGATCTAACTTTGACCAAAAATAATAATAGTATTGACTACAAAATCTATAGAAAGCCTACAACCACAGACCATACAATCCATGCAACCTCCAATCATCCACAATCACACAAGATGGCCGCATACAACAGCTTCGTTAATCGACTTTTAACAATACCCATGTCTCAAAATAACTACAACAACGAATATGAAATATTAAAATGTATAGCAGTCAATAACGGATACAATAGCAGTATTATCGACAATATTATACACAAACAAAAGAACAGAAAACCACTACAGAAAACCGATCAAAACTTTATTTCTATAGAATATGGCAACTGCTTACATTATACCTTAAAAAATGAACTAAAGAAACATAACATTACATTGGCCTCCAAAACTTCAAATAAACTAGAAAGCCGCCTAAATCCACGTACTTCGAAATCTACAGTTTCCAATAGCCTAGAGGACACTGGAGTATACAAATTAACCTGCAGCGACTGTCCAAAAATGTATATCGGACAAACAGGTCGTTCATTCAAAAAAAGGTTTAATGAACATCTACCCAAGCCTAAACTGCGAACACAACATTCTAAGTTCGCTGAACACCTGATGAATGACAACCACAACGTAAGCAGCTGTAGTGATAACCTGGGTATTTTACATAAATGCACCAAAGGCTCCTTAATGAATGTCCTTGAAAGCTATGAAATCTACAAAGCAACAAAAAGGTTTCCCCACGACATCCTGAATGAAAAGCTAAATTTTGGTCGTAACACAATATTTGATAGGATTGAGGACATTGATAACAAAGGCGCTCATAATCAGCTGTCCAACCCCCTCCAAGGTCAATGTCACCAGACCAGTGGCAGTCGGTAGTTGAGTCGTGTCCGTCGTGCGTGTAATGGCCGGCCGCGCGTCTTTCTGTATCTTAATGTATTTGTGCGTGTTAAATGTTATATTTGTGTACTTTGACGACGACATTATGTTCAAGTAATTTTATGTTTGACAAGGCTTGAAAATGAAACGTCAGTTTCGAAACTAGTCGCTGCTAAAAAGACTAACCTAGGATTGACGACGTAAAGGTACGTAACCTATTTTATATTGTCTTAAATCAATCCTGGAGGCAATGCTGAATAAAACAGGATTTAAGCTGAGCAAACATTTCTTTGGGCAAAAATGCTACAAGTTCTCAAAGAGGTATGGCAGTATTGCGGAGGTTTCAGCGAGAATCGGAACTCGAGCTCAAACCGAGTTTGTGTATTTAAAGATCCACAATGTCATACAATAAGTTTACTTGTCATAGTTCTTTAATGAGAAATGCTTTACATGTCATGATGTAGAGTAATTCAATTCTATCCTTGAAAAGACAACTTCATCAGATTAGTACGGGCATACCCTAAGAATACAAATAAACATACGAATAATAAATAATTTAATATATCAAAGTTAAATTTATCAATCACAGTACAAATAAAAGTACATTGGCAAGTTTTTTTTTATAATTGTAAATAAGTTAGTTTACTATCAACAAAGATATTGAAAGCTGGGATTATTCTTGAGTTGTATACTTTCAGAGAAAAGAACAAATATAATATAGGTTGATTTTCCAATATTGGGAGATTATAAAACTTACACGAAAATCATGTCCCCCTTTTTTGCGTAGGCTGGTATAGCACTTGAAATGGTTGAAAACGCATAGGAATAGACCACAGCATCCTCAGCTCCCATGAATTCTGCCAACTGTTTCTCTAATGCCAAGTGAACTTCTGGAAAGCAAGGACTGGTTGACAATAGATTATAATTGTTACAAACAAAATTAAACTGTAGCCTATAGGCAAACTGAGACAAGTAAGTAATGGACGAGGTCACATATTCATACCCTGAATCTACTAGTGTTACAGCATGATAGTTTGTCAGAGTTTTACTGACTACGGATTAGATTTCGCCCTGAGATTAATCAGCTGACTGGCTTACAGATGCCGACTCGTCATGTCATCTGCAGCTGAGACTAACTGAATTTTGTACGTATGGAACTTCAAATCTTGTTTCAAAATGCAGTGAAATACTGGTTCGGGGTATATTTAAAGGAGCAGCGTGTTTTCTTACTGATCGATGTGGATTATCCTCCACAGCATCTCGAACACACTCGATATTTTGTTCAGAACGGACTTCTCTATGGCAACCGATGGGACGAGGGTTCATAGTTGAACTTGTAGCTTCAAATTTACGCACCCAGCATTTAATTAAGTTCACTCATGGCGTTTGCTTGTATAAACGTTTTGTGACAAAAAAGTTTGATTTGAATTGCTATTATTATTACTTAAATTCAATCAGAAATATACACGAAAACATAACTATTGTTTTCCAACCAATAATATAAAAATATATTTAGGACTAGGCCTAAAACAACCTCAGATAACCCTAAGGGCTCGGATAACCGGGGCCCATATGGTCAAGAGTGTGCTGTACGTACCACTAGCTTTATCTATTACAGATTACCTTGAACTGTAACGGCTCACCACTTGCTTTGCTGGATATATACGCACAGGCCCAGGGCCTATGTGGATAGGCAAATGCAAGGTCAAAAGAGGCTGCCAACCTCTTCTAAGTAATTCTAGAGTTAAATTTTAATCTTTAGTCTCCAAGTACTTACCAGTTGTTCCATAGAATCCTCGAGGTCCACACGAGCCGACCCCATATTTTTCTATCGTCTTCATCGCATCTTTTTCAACACTATCATCTCCGATGAATCCAAGATAGTTGTGGGTTGCAAAATTCAAGCATTCTATTCCATCAATGTTTATGTATTTGCCAGCCTAAAAACATGATTACAAATCAAACAAATAAGCATGTGTAAAAATGGGCCTTCTTGTATAAGAATTTTGTTTTATTGTGCATCTGGAATTCAGTTGAATGATTGATTAATAAACTTGACAACTCTGTCAGTTGTGTTATGAGAATGATTCCTTAATTACTTGTAGGCCTAAACTTTTATCGATACGATAAGTTTCAATTATCGTAGTAGAGAAACATTATTTTGCAAATCCAAAATGTCCCTTTGGGTGTTTCGTCAACATTTCCTCAATAGTCTAACTAAATCAAGACCAAGGACAGTCACTTGTTGACATAACGCATTTCAATGGACTGAACAACAAATTTAATACATCGAGGAATTCACAAGATTAGGTTAAATGTGCTATTATTTTGCAATAGAAAAGTAAGCCACACTTAAACCGTTGAAATCCACAACCTAACCAAAAGATGACCTTTGTATGTTCCAGAAACAGGCTGTCCAGCAAGCCATGTAGGCCTAAATAAAATTTAAGAAAGAAGGGTGTCTAGCAAGCCAAGAAAATAAAATTTAAAGAAACAGGGTGTCCAGCAAGTCATGTAAATGAAATTTAAAGAAAAATGGTGTTTAGAAAGCCAAGAAGATAAAATATAAAGATACAGGGTGTCCAGCAAGCCATGAAAAGAAAATTTATAAAAAAAGGGTGTATCTAGGAAGCCACAAAATTTTTTTAAGGAAACAGGGTGTCCAGCACTAGCTGTACTTTAGCCAAGTACACAACATTAGCTTTGTCGAAATAGCATTCCAAATAGCTCTGTCTCAACATTAGCAGTAGCCTATATTGTTAATTTCTGTGAGTGCAATGATAAAACAATCTTTGAAAAACATGAGCGCTATTATCTGAAGGGCAGTATGATTGTGCAGAGAAAAATAGAATAATAAACCGTTAACTGAGCAAAATCATTTTTTGAAGAGACAACCGGGAATCTTAACACTCTCCCTTGTCAGTTAACTCTTGTGTGTTGATCTTGGTTGGTTTTGGTTATTGTCGTTACATAGTCAACATTAGTGATGGTCAAATCCAGAAACTCAAATTTTTCAATAAAAATCCAAAAAAATTGAGCCCCAAACCTCAAATTCAAGTAAAATTTGCTTAGGATACTATATAAAATATACTGTGAAAATGCATTCCTATTAATTATTTAAATTTGAATTGAATAACTATAGAGAGACACTTGTGAAGAAATTACATTACTTTAATGTCATACCTTCCCTCGTACGACTCTTGGCTTTAGGGCAAAGTGAGATGGGGACACTTCAGTGACTAAAGGTTCTGGCTCGTAATCTCTGATCAAGGCTTCTTTTTCCTGCAACAACAGCTGAAATTAACATACTCAGTTTTAACTTGGGACAAAGCCAATTACAGTAAAGAACAAAAAATATCTTACAAGTCGATCCCTGTCACCCGATTCCTTAATCTGAATAAGAACATTTCAGCGTGTAGTAACTGGATATTTATTGAGGACAGGAAATCTACGTTTGCTCTTTGTCTATTGATAGATGTAGGCATTCTGTTCCCTTGTTAAAGCTGTAGTAAGATTTACAATGTAATGGATCTAGTAGTGTTGTGAAGCCAATTACTGATTTCTGTTGGAAACGCCAAACTTTTAACCAAGATAAAGTGAAAGAATTACATAGTGTAAACTAAAGCATCTTTTATATCACATAACATTTCATGGTACCAAAAATTAAAGGAGAAAATCAAAAGTAGACAGGAGCGCAATCTGTAAGAGGCTCATTCAACTATTGTATATTTGGCTACAACTGGTCTACATAGAGTGTGTCTACAAGTCAATGGTTTAACACGGTACAAGTCTTGAGATTTCAATGGATCCATAAAATAATTGAATTTTTGTACTATTACACAGTAGTTTAAGTAGAGGGAACATTCAAATGAGAAACAACTGGATTTTTGTTAACAAGATGGTTCTCGGATCACCATGTGGTTGCAACACTCTCCTTTTCACCTCACTATTTTGTCTTCCATGACTCCTTCATCCCTTGAGTCATTTGGGTGATTTTTAAATCCACTGTGGCTAAATTATAACCAAAAATGAGGCACAACCAACAAGTATATGATACTGCCACCACCCCTTTGTATTTGTTACTTTTCTTTGGTTAAACAAGTCATGCGTAATTCGCTAAATTCATTAAACTTTATGTATAAAGGACATGAAAAAATGGTACTTGAGGCTTGTGACGTTTGATTCACAATACATTACACATTTTAAGTGGCTATCAAGAGAATTGAGCTGAATAGGACCTACAATACAAAAAGAATATCAAATATAAGAATATTTTATAAATATGTATTGTAAGCAGTAAATCAATATTTCCCATACTAAATAACATTTTTATGGGAAATAGTTTTAGATAGGCCTACAACAATACACACATTAGGCCTACCAAGATTATTTCACATTAAAAAAATCAAGATACCAATTAAGAACTAGTTAGTTAGTAAACTTACTGCATACTAATAATAAATGCATTCATAAAAATGTATGATAGGCTACTAAATAAAACTGTCTAATATCAATCCTCACAAGCCAAATCAGCATTATTATTATTACAAACTGAAGTATGTACACTATTCAAGAGAATTAATACAGAATATTTAATCAACTTTTAAAAACTTAAAAATTCAAAAGTAGGCTATTACACTTAATAGTCCTACTTCTTTAACTTCATAATACTTAAACGTTCATTGGTGTACCGTCTAAGTTCTAATACCAAAAGGTTCTATAGTTAATACAGTAAAATGATTCTTCTTAATAGCAAAGGGAGTTTTTATGAATTTAATACAAAATAGTTTTAACAAATAGTTTATTGTTAGCATATGGCCACCGTGGTCTTTAATGACACACTATCTGTAAATTTTTTGTTTGACCAATGGAATGTACTTTAACAACACAATCTAGGTCAACTTTTAAGTCATTTAACATCTTCGGCTTATTAGTCCTTGGAGCCTAGACGTACCAACTCAGAAAACAATTAAAGAACTACAAAGACAATTTATAATTTCTCAGTATACTAAATATTTAAATTACAATCACTCTAGTGTTTGAAAAAATATTTTTGGACGGTAAATAACTCTTCAGTGGCTGTTTGAAATTAACAAAATTAACATTGCTCTGGTGGGCGAATCCAAGATGGCCGTTAGCTTCCATGGACTCCCTTGGAGAACAATTTAAAACTACAAAGAACATTTTCAATCTCACAGTATACTAGATATTTAAGGTATAATCACGTTACAAAAAATATTTTTGGACGTAACTCTTCAGCAGCTGTTTGAAATTATCCAAGATGGCCGCTAGCATCCAAGGACTCTTAACAAGTGACTTAAATCAAATGTTCCCTTGTAAAATAAAAAATAATCCATTTGTATGTGATAAAAGGTCATGAAGGCTAGACAGTTCACAGGTCTTTTTTGCAAAATCATGTGTTTATTGAATGTTTAAAAAACTATTAACATACCATCGCACAAGGTGGTATATTCTATCTTTCCTTCTCTCTACTTAGTCAGTGTCAATCAAACAGTCAATGGGTGTAAGATGACAAACAGATTAAAATTTGTTGCATTATTACAGTACTGATATGTGGACTTCCAGATTGTGTATCGTTTAGAGTCATCTACAATGCTTAAATGCCCAAAAATATTTCTCAACACTGATTAAAAGCGCTAGAGACCTAGTTAGAATTGTTATATGAACTCTTGACTCATTAGAATTTTCAAGAGCAAAAACATGATTACATTTTAAGCAAGTTTAGATTGCAAATTCCTACTTATATAAAACTTACATATAGATTTATCCTACTTAAGTTTCGACAACATTTTGCTTAAAAGACCTCAATAGTGTTGCTGAAAAAATACACAAACAAAAATCAAAGACACACACATTGAGTGCACAAACACTAGGCCTATGTAACTACAATGTTTATAATCTATTTTTGTTGATAGTGAGAAAAATGACTAAACATATTAAGAGATGAATCATGTTAGTCATATACTCTTGTCAAAATGCTCAGAATTCAACTTTTAGATACGGTAGGCCTAACAAAAACTGTTGCAATGAAATGCAATAAATACAATTGCTTTACTGGTAGCCTACATATTACAAGCAAAGTAAATTATTATTCCAGGTAATGGTGAAGAGGAATGGTCAATTGGGAATCCATCACAATAATTATTATATCTGATTTATGGCAATGGACACATGTGAGTGTTCTGATGACAACTCAAAGTGAAATGCAATGTTAAGATTGATTGTTGTACAGGTCACTGGTGCTTTAAATGCATATAAAGATAGGAAAAAATCAGCTGACAAGCATTCATTTACCTGGATGTAATTAAATAGTGCTGCATCAATAGTTATTTGTGCAACAAGTGAGCAAAGCAAGTGAGCAATTGACTCACTCGAGAGAAATGCTTACTCACGAGCCGTAGGCGAGTGAGGAATGGTTTCTCGAGTGAGGCAATTGCACTTTGCACTCGAGTTGCACATTATTTTTTTCCTACAGTTACAATAAAACAAATAAATTAGTAGTAAAGAAACGTGACATTTTTACACAGAAGTGAACTTTTAATATGACATTTAATGATCAACACGATCAACAATAGTACAACAGCTGACCAGCTGATTTACAGCCAGTACTGCCAACGTATTTCACGCGCATACGACCTTGTCTGCATGTTACGCGCTCGCTATTTCGTGCCTTCACGTTGCAAATCTGGAGTGAGACAATGTAATTAGAGTGAGACAATGTTAACATTGTCTCAGTGATGAGCGAATTGGCCACTTTGCTTTCTCAAATCAGTGAGAGAACATGTACATTGTTAGGTAACTGTAGGAAAAATAAATTAACTACCGTAGTAATAAACAATATATCTGTAGGCTATAGGCCTACTTGAGTGTAAATCAAATATGAATAATTTACTACAGCTTTAAAACCCTGAAAGAAAAATCTACTTCGATGTGAGTTCTGTGATCGGATAATACTTACATTTTCTGTGAGTTTTAGTTCATTTGTTGTGCTTTTCTTGCATATTAACCAAAGTACCCATACTATGAGTGAAAACTCCAAAAAGAGATGATGTGCTTGTCCCTGGAACAAATATTGACCAACTCACAATTTTATCAATGAAAAAGCAAAACACTTTTTAAAAAATTAGCACAGATAACTTAGACGTAATGTGTCAATACTGGAAGGCAATTCTCTGCACCATTGGTTTTTTTTGGGGAAAGTCCTGTTACCCAAACCCGGCATTACAATATAGTTACAAGTGCTTTGGCACCAAGAGGACACGGGTCTATTGGCTCATCCTAGACATTATTTTAGATTTGCGCGCACGGTAAAAAACGTCAATTTTTACCATTTTGAAATGATATTTAGGCCTATATCGAAAAAACTAAAAGATAGATTTTTTGAAAAAACTTATTTGGATTCAGGACTCAAAATACTACTAGTATGTAAAATTTCATCAAAATCCAAGATGGTCAGGTTGAGAGCCTAGTTGATTTGATATGGAATGACCCTCCCGTGAATATTAAAAGGACTACCCAACTAACTTAGCTTAGGATGCCAAAAACTAATAATGTCAACCTTTACCCTAAGAATACAATGACACGGTTCCAATAGCTGTAAATTGTATTTTTATAGTTTATTTTATGACTACATAGTAGGCCTATGACTACGTCTACTCTTACCCCAGATAGGCCTATAAATTCTCTTAATTTTTCAACGTAACATTCCATTTCAAATTTGCACACTGTAACTTATTACTTATGCAAAACAAGAATATATGAATTTGTGTTTGGATGTAAAATAATTATTATTCAATAGTCTGTTCCAACTTCGTTAGTTATAAACATCAGCAGATCGCCATTTCCAACCTTTAACCTAAAAAATAAATAAAAATAATGGGGAAAAGAGAGGAGAAGTATAAGGATTGGTATGGTTTTGCTAAAAAAAATCAAGCAGAAGACAATAAATACGACGGCGCTGAAGGGCCACCAACTATAAAAAAATATTTTTCTTAATCTCTGAGAAAAAACATAGAATTCTGAGTTTAAAGTAAGAATATAACAAGTGGGCGTTCCACTCTGAGATTAAAGTCAGAATTCAACTAGTGGGCGTTCCCCTCTGAGATTAAAGTCAGAATTTAACAAGTGGGCGTTCCTCTCTGTGAAAGGAGTTAGAATTCTGAGATTTAAGTCAGAATTGAATTGTGGGCGTTCATCTCTGAGATTAACGTAAGAATTGGACTTGACTCTATCTAGTCTCTAGTCTCTACTACTCTACTCTTCTCAAGGCCACCTTTAACCCCAGGCCGCGGCCTGGTAGAATTGGCAACGTTGCAAGTAGAAGAACACAGTAGAATAGACAACAGAAATGAAATTTATATTATTTCTTTTGTCTAAGATAGTAGGGATGATAGCATCGATATGCTGATAATATCGTTGCAATAAGAGAGGAACGCCCACAGTTCAATTCTGACTTAAGAGTTGAACGCCCACTAGTTATATTCTGACTTTTTTCTCAGAGAGGAACGCCCACAATTCAATTCTGACTTTAATCTCAGAATTCTAACTCCTTTCACAGAGAGGAACGCCCACTAGTTGAATTCTGACTTTAATCTCAGAGTGGAACGCCCACTCGTTATATTCTGACTTTAAACTCAGAATTCTAAGTTTAAACTCAGAGATTAAGACAAAATTTTTTTAACTGTTGGTGGCCCTTCAGCGCCGTCGTAAATACCAAACCAGGAGGCAAGAGAAAAATTCTCAGACTCAGGGAAAAGTCCGCAAAATACAAAGAAACTCATAGGGTAGGGGGAAGATTACAATTTTGTATAATTGCATGGTAATTATAAGTGGGTGAAGGATAAAAATAACAGGTTTATACTATATTATACACTATTTTCAGCAAAGGCAATGAAATAGTTAACCTATTCCGCTATCGCGGCCAAATCAAAAACGTCTTCCAGGGTCACTGCGCAATCATGAACATGAACATCCCGAAATGAATAAGAAAAGGACCCTAGCTTTATTGCCATTGGCCAACTCGTGGCAATGGCAGCGAAATTTCCTACTTTCGCTCGCGCAACTTACAGATACTTTATGCAATCGCGAAAATAAGGGCACAACCACGGCCACCTTTAACTTGATTTTGGACGGCACATAAGTCATATTTGTACCAGGGCGTCACGCATGCTGGGATTGATCTCTCGGACGTCAAGACATGGGTTGAGTGCCAACTGACATGCTGACAGCATCCTTGAGGGTACCCCGTAAAAGCATTGTTGTTGTTGTTTCTTTGTTGTTGATTTTTCTCATGTTAATTTTGTGATCTATTTTGTTTGTATTCTTGTTATTGATTGATATATTCATTGTTATATTTTGTTATTGTTATATTTTGTTATTGTTATATTTTTTATACATTGTTATATTTTCTGTAACATCAATATCCATTGTTTTGCCATGTAATAATTAGTTTAAAAAATTGTTTTCTACTCCTCTGTTAGTTATTAAATTTTTATAATATTCTCATATTTGTAGCTACTTAATGTAAAATGGTGTTTGCCGTTGGTGTTCAATAAATAAATAATCTCCTCAACGATCCTGTTCAAGGCCTTAGTTCGTCAGCTAACCCCTCCCCTCTTCACTAGCCCTACCCTCTTCGGCCAAATCAATCATCTTGAATCCGTCCAGAGACGCTCGTGAGACATCTTGGTTGCCGCGCTGGGTTCAATTTCATGCACGTCCCAGCCGAGGCAATATCTGCAGCTTATGGTCTCCAAAGCTCGGAGTGTATAAGAAGAGTTGCTGATGTTGCCTTCCTCTTCAAGCTGCTTAACAACCAGATCAGCTGCCCTTTTCTGCTCGAGAGGATCAATTTACACGTTTCTAAAAGCACCAGGCATCAACGCTTGTTTGCGCTAGACCATGCTTTGGCCAGCTATCTACGTTTCTGCCACCCATACAACGTCTGATGCGCTCCGGGAACGAGATCTGTTCATCGGTAGACTTTTTCGCTTACAGTTTGGAGGCTTTTAGGCGAGTGGCAGCGGAGGAATGTGACGCTCTATAGTTTTTTACTGTTAGTGCCGTTATCGACCATGTTGTTTGTTTTTTTCTAATCATTATTAGTGTTGTTCATTTAATTTTAATTATTGTTAATCATTTCATTATTTAATTTTGTTACTCATTTCATTTCTCTATTATTGTTATTCTTTTCATTGTTTATTATTGTTAGTACCTAGTACAAAACACAAACATTCACTGTTGTAGCTGTCAAACATTATCTTTGTAAATTGGTGTATTGCCGTTGGTAAATAAATAAATAAATAAACTCCAGGCCGTGGCCTGGTGGCAACGTTGCATGTAGTGTTGTTTAGCATCATACGTCCCATAAGATAACATGGCAGACAGGTGACACCATCAGCTCATTAATTCGAGTATTATTCATTCATTTAAAGTTAAATTTAGGAACATAAATTTATAAAAAAATAAAAATAAAATGTATAGAATTGAAAACCAAAACAATATAAATTGAAAACACATTTCTGTACATTTTAAATGGAGTCAATATTCTCATAGCCCAGTAACCAAGGGGTATTCTGAAAAAAAAAACAAAACACAAATATCATTAACTGCCTCCAAACAAAACATCTATTATATTATTATATTATATTATATTTGTTGTCATGAGAGCCGAAGCCCCCTGACTGCATACCCGGTACCTATCCTTCAGGACATACCCGGGCCCCATGATGTAGGCCGAAGCTTACGCATCAACCTTTAGCACATCATGGGCGGATGACTTAAGGTCATCAGGCTCGCCGGCTGCCGAAGCAGACCCTTCGGAAAGAGGGTTGCCCCTCAATCCTAACCAGGGATTCCGGCTGCTTGTTTAAGCGTCACTCCACCTGGGTTCCACAGGTCGGAACCTAGAGGTCCATAGTAGAGCGCCCCGACGCATTTAGTGCAAGCAACACTCGGGACCTATCTAATCCCTGACAGGCAGAACCCGCCATCAATAGCCAGGAGGAAGGGGACCATCAGCACGCTGACGGGGGGAACCCCAACCTCCCATTTACACCGCTGCCCGATCGAGGCCTTACCCATTGCTGGGAAACCAGAGATAACCAGAGCGATAGATCCCCAGATACCCCTGGCGGGCTCGGACCCAGCACCCGATCTACTTCGTTTGCCCGTCAGACCCAACATCACTGCCAGGCCATCAGGGTTTCCCAAAAGGAGGCAGGTATAGAAGTGGGACCCACCCGGATGAACCTATCCACCAGAGGTGGCGACACCCTTGACTCAATTGAGGTTCCGGGAAGAACCCCCCACACTCAAGATAACCATACCGTCCGTGCTCAGAGACAGGGATAGGTTTGCATAAGTACCTACAAACCGTTGCCCTCACACTGCGGAAAGTTACGTTGCCCTTGAGTGTCCCCGTGAGCTGCGGGTACTTGCCCGTTTTCACCTCCAGGAAAGGTTACTTCCAAAGTCGAGGATTTGCCCACTGAATGCTGGTCGCACACAACAAGCAGGCCGAAGCCCAAAGAACCACAGACACAGGTAGGTTAGAGATTATGATGTACTTCCATCTCTCCTAGAGCTAAACACCCCTCCATCCTGGATAAAGGAATGTCACTGGGACCCGATGCCCAGTCGACCATGTCTGAGGCCAACTTGAAAATGCCGATACCAACACGGAGCATTTACCTCCCCTCTGGGGGCTAGGTATTTCACCTCCCAGGACGAGGCTACTTCCAAAGTCGAGGATATGCCTCACAAAATGCCAGTCGTACACGACAGGTAGGACTCAGTCACAACCACAAGCTACAGGCAGGTGAAAGATCTATGAACTTAATCAACACTAGCAGAGCTGAACACCCCCACCACCCTGAATGGAGGGAATGTCACTGGGTACTCTCACTTTGGGTAAACCCAAAGAGGCTGGCTTGTCCAGTCGTCCATAGCTTGTGGTCTACCTGAAGTGCCGGTTCCAACACCGGGCAATTACCTCCCCTCTGGGAGAGCTAGGGTCCGCGTTACAGCTGTTACAACACTATTTGTGACGTTGCCACTTCGAAGGCCGCGGCCTGGAGGGTCTAAAGGGTAAAGGAGTTTAATTCCATGCAGCGGCCTTCGTGTCAACATCGCAAGTAAGTGTTAAACAGCCTTTTCGTTTGGAGGCAGCTAAATGGTGGCCCTAATTGTGTATTTTTTTAAGAATACGAGAGATTGGTCAACTGGGTTATGAAAATGCTGACTCTACTTTAAATGTAGGTACAAACATTTGAGTTTCAATTTAAATATTGTTTTGGTTTTCAACTCTGTGTTTTGTTTTTCAATCTTTTGATAAATTTATGTTCATATATTTATTCTATAAATAATAGGCACACTCGAATTAATGAACTAGTGTCGCCTGTCTGCCATGTTATCTTATGGGACGTCTGGCGCTAGACAACACTTGCAACGTTACCAATTCTACCAGGCCGCGGAGGAGTTAAAAGTGGCCGTGGCTCGGTTCGGCTCGGTGCGAAAATCAAGCTGCCCAGCTGCCCACACACACACACATCTTACATCAATTATCTGACCCGAGCTTGGTCTAAGACGATTATTTCCAGGCTGGACCGATCCCTTGGGTCAACTGTTGACGCTAACTGAACCGAAATACTGGGGAACCGCTGACATTTACTGTAGTAACATTTGGAGGGTGACAAAAGAGAACATATATGTATATAGTCCTCGCCACCCTAAGTTGAGGCAGCCAAAGGCCGCACTAGATACACGCCGTGCGGCCTTGGGCTGCCTCAACTTAGGGTGGCGAGGACTATAGTTCATCTAGAATCTTGATATCAATTTACATC